TTTTTAACTGAAATGTGAGCTCCAGTGCTTGCAAAAGTTATACACAATACAATACAATAGCGACTAAAACACTGCACCACCATCATCAATATTCTGAAAGATAAAAACGAACTCTGTCCGAAGACGGTGAATTACGTTCTTCATCAAAGGTGAAATCACAATGCAACTGACCACTAGAATGACTTTAGAGTAATGCACAGCTGCTACGTCAGAGCTGCACTAACCTTCCCCATTATATTCCAAATATAATTCTGGAAAGGGTTCCATTCTCCAGTCATGGTTGCAGTGTATACATTGCGTCAGGTGGAAAGTTGTCTGATCTAGAGTAGGCAGATGAAGTTGAGCCGTCGAGTGAAAACGGAGTTAAATTACAAGACTTTCTTCATGGTTTGAATGTGGGTGTCTTTTATCTTCCAAGCGTAAAATAAAATAACGGAACTGAGTCGGTCCAACTCCCAAACTCACTTCAACGGAGTGGGGGGTCACGGAGAATGTAGACAAATTCTACTAAGTGGAGGTTTCCCGGGAAATACGTTATCTCAACGGGCACAAGACCACAGACTCAGATGTGCTGCTCTCATCGGCTCTCAGTTTAGGGTTCAGCGTTAGTCTTGGAGTTAACGAAATTCCCGGGTCCAATATGGGAGATGGAACAGGTCCCCATTGAATGGTGTGAATCGGTCATCCTGTCGATTTACGAAAGGTGACGGATTCTCTTTTGAAAACTAAAGAGTAATTAGTTTAATCAACATGACCTCTAAACTTATCGATGGGAGCATACTCCGTCGACTATCTGCGGGACGTGAGAACCAGGCTGGCGCACGAAGGTGCATGGTTATCGGTAAGACAAATTGAACTTAACCACCTGGACAGCTACATCTCTGTATGTGGGTGAATCACAAATAAATTCTCGGCATGTATACAGAAGGCTTGGTCGCCAATTACAGATACATTCGGTGTCATCGAAACATTCGACTACTCGCGAAGAATCAAGTGCATGCTGCTGCAGCGCAATCAATAATGCAATGTAATGCAGAGATTTGGCCGTTAGGGGAGAAATGTAGAAACAGACTATCCGTGCTCGAACACAGAGCCTTAAACCTGATTGTAGGAGTTTGATAAGATAACCAGGCAAGATATGTCGAGGTTAGGCGAAGAGTTTTAGGCAATCACCGTCACACGCACCAGAGCAAGTGTTCGATCTCAGTAGATTACGACGGCTGGGCTATATATTATTCATCTCACCAGATAGGCTTTCTGGGCTTCCGCTATTTGTTTAAACAGACAGTGGATAGAAGGATAAGTAGTGACCATAAGAATTGGTAAAACGATATGAAAATCGTGACCCACATAGGTCACAAATAGACTTCCTGGTTGACGACTCTGTGACAGAAAAAATCTGTAGGTACAGCTTGAGTGATATCTATGTCATGAACAGCGGCGTTTCTACACAATACAGATTCGTCGTTTTGTGCATAGGTATACCTTGTTACCTACTTCACTCAACTTTCTATTCCTGGAATCATTCTTTGCCCATTGTTTAAAAGAATGGGTGATCGAAAGACAGAAATCAAAACCAGTCCGCAACCTGAAGTCAGGTGCTTGAATTGTTAGCAGTCTATATCAACAACGTGCACAAGAATCTGAACATCGCGGACGGAAAACTGACAATCCAGTGAGCACTAACTACTTTGGTACAGATGAGCCCCTTCATTTTTGCTCGTATATCATGCTTATGTGTGTGAGGCATAAAAACAGTACCGCACGACGATTTTAAGGAATAATTGTTCGAACGTTTCAAGTCTCATGAAAAAATACGATTTCTGATTGTCTCGTGCCGGTATGCGATTCGCAATAGTTGCTATACGTTTCAGGAAGGCCAAATTGAAATGGAGTTAGAAGAACTAGAGGCAGTTGCCACATCTGTAGTTGGATCATTCAACCTCATCACCCAAAACAGATCATTGGATAGATCGAATGAGGCAGAAAACAAGGTAGGTATATTGTCTGAAATCAGTTATGCCGTTGTTTCTATGACTGATTGGCTTGTTCTGTCACGCACTGAAATGGAAGAAAAGGGTGCACCAATATGAATACAAAACGGGACCTATTAACGGCGAAAAGTAAAAAACAACAAAGTTGATAGTCCTGTTTTGAAAAGCACCGAGGAATTCGTTTGATAAACAGTATCTCGAACCTTCTCGCTGGAATTCTAATCCATCTGTTGTCTAGCACACGTGAAAATTAGGCTGGTCTTAGACCAGGTCTAGGTTTTATCCCTAAATAATGAAACTCAGGTTTTCCTTCCGAAAATTTCTGTCGTCTCCGTCTAAAGGCGGCATTCAACACGGAGCCACACACGCACACTCCTGGTTGATGCACCAGTCGTCTCGATGGGGCGCCTTGGACACTTGACCTCGTCTTAAGAATGTATGATTCGATTAACTGGACACCGGATCGTAATGGATAGTGTTTACACATTACCCCGCTGCCTTAAGGATGAAACTTTTGATAGTTAAGGCCTTCAATTGTGAATTCCCCAAGAAAATTCACCTGCTGAGGTACTTGTGGGTAACATGATCCCCGACGCGATCTATCTTTCCTTGAAAGGTCAAGTCTACAGTGCCACCATATGCGCAGTCCGAATCTATAGCTCCGAGAGTGTAGCTGTTGACATAAGACATACGGGTACTTTTTTCACTCTTGTTCTTTTCTTACTGCCATTTTATTGAATACACAATGATACAATTTTCAGGAAGGGAGAAATGGTCATACGACACACAATGGGGAAGTCAAGCGGTGGTGGTGGGATTCGAATACACGTCCCCCGAGGGGATAAGTTGGTGACGTTACCACCACCATAAATGTATTTATCCATCATTGCCTTTGTTGCATCACCAGCAGCGACATTTTTTCGCGATATCAACTTTACTAATCATGAGCAGCATTATGAATGTTAAAGTAATTATCCACTTGTATCGAATCGGACGCGCGTACGGTTCTGATGCCAGTGAACCTAAACTTGATCGCTTTCAGCCATAATTTAAAATAAAACACGATACTACTCTCAAGTAGTTTAGGAAATAAAGCAGATGAAAAGCTCGGTAACCTGTTATTCTGATTGACAAATAAAATGACCACCATCGTAAAATGTGATCATGGAGTCAGTTTGGGCTTTTGTAACTTGGCTCCTCGTGAATATTTTGCTACGGTCCTGCATTATACTTGTTCGTCACAACAAGCACACCAGTCTTAGTCTTAAGGTGTGAACTGGAGAACACACGATAGTAGAGCCATTTATGTTCAGGCGTACATTCGGCATATGCGACCAATCCGGAACGAATAAATCAATGACTGGATTGGATTGTGGCCTTGATTGTGTGGCAGTTCCATTAAGACGCCATGTGACCGATATTCATCGAATCTTTTCTTTTCTTACACTTGAATGAGAACAATTGGATGTTGCCCTCTAAAACCTTCCCCGTTGATATATGACTGAGATATGAATCGCGGATTAATTTGCAATTTTTTCGACCACGATCAACGACACAGCCCAATTTATTGTAAAGCTGTTTTATTTATGGCAGTCATCAACATCAGTAGTGCACAGCCACCAGCCCGTTCGCGATGCGAACACCGGATCCCCTGCATGAAAGGAGCACGTTACCCTCATCGTCGTCATCATCGTAGAGCGAGATACAGTGAAGCGAACTCCACTGATCGCTGCCAAACTCGCAATGCATACAAGGTTAGTGGTAAAATTTAAGGTGGATAGGGCATATTTTTAGAGAGAGGGCAGGTGAACCTCTATGGTCAATACAACCACGGTCAGGCCGGAATCCAGCTTGCTGTTCACGGATGTTGGTTTCTCTTCACCAATGAATAATAAGTTACCTCAGATGTTATCCTCAAGGATAGTAAATCAGTTGCTGTCTCAGCAATTTCGTAGGAAGACACAATAAGCAACCCGATAGCTCTGATCGAAAGTCTCCAAGTGTATGAAGATCTTCTGTACAGGTTTAGGTAGTCCACTGTGCACGAATCTGTCAAGGTAGTTTTATTTTCCACTCACGATCACTAGTGAGCGAATCTCAAGTTTAGCATCCCCGAGTGTCTGGGTAATGCAGTGAAGATTATGTCAAGAAGTAGCTTGGAGGATTACCAAGTCGAAATAGATAAATATTTTACATTACTACTCGACAGTTGAGTCGTAATTAGTAAACACAGCAAAACTTGATGTCTACGAATTTACTAACTGAAAGACCCAAATGCTCTACTCGATTACCAATCATTATCCGAGTGAAATTTATAAAAGCTGAAAACTGGAGGACAGAAGGATGACCAGGTTCATGCAAATGATCATTGTGATTAGGGGATCGTAATGTGAAGGACAAACAGTACACACACACACCTCTAATAGGATCATCCAACGATGCTGACCGCAAAATCAACCATGAAGTCAGAAAAAATGTTGATTCAGTGGAAGAGTTAAACATGACATACCGCTTCCACAAGATCCATCAGCTTCCCTGGATCCGATCCAGATAAAATTTCCACGAAATCAATCGGAACCTGATACTGTTTAAACGCACTCGGACGAACTGAACGATCGTGTTGGCATTTGAACACAGGTAACGAGTCCTGATTTAGCGAGGTAACACAAAGAAATAAAATGAGCTGGAAACAAACCTTTACAATAGGGGATTTGGTCGTTTTTGTTGCTTGGTGTTAAGGTTTACGTAGACTGTGCATTTCAACATTCTTTAAAAAGTAGTATAATTCGAGAAGATAGGAAATGAACGATTCTTGTTGGCGCGATTGTGGCCGTACCGAGTAGAACTCCACGCAGTATCATT